AATTAACTATGTAATAATAACAAATTACAACATTAATAAAGATCATGAGACACGTCTCACCTTAACATTAAAAAAAATTTCAATAATTAATAAAAGTTGATATACAAGTTATAATTAAGTATTGCCAATATATTATATACAGTTTGGTTTAAAAAATTGAAATTTGTTTTTTTTTATTATATAGAAATAGTCACATGAAATCATATGAATTTTATTTTTATGAAGTTTATTTAATATATTTGTTAAAAAAATTTTTTTAATACAAAATATACTCTTTCTCATTTTCTATAATTAGTTTGCAACATTTTTACATTGATTAAACTAATTTTATTAAAACAGATTTTGAAATTTTTTGTCATTTCTTACTTATATATAATTTTAAATTATTATGATTTTTTGGCATATGTTTTTATATGTTGCTTTGACAATACTCTATAGATTTTTAATTGGATTCAAATTAGGACTATTCAATAACCAGTTAATAAGATTTGACATATTTTCTTTAATAAAAGTTTTTGCCAAGTAACTTGTATACTTTGAATCATTATCTTATTAGAAGTATCATTTATTATCAAGTATTTTTTTGATTTCAAGAATATTTTTGCAAAGAATTCCTATATAAAAACTTGCATTCATTATTTGTTAAAAAAGAAATAAAGTTAATTTTTCTCTAATACAAAATTCTCTTTAAGCAAAAATCTTTATTTGATTTTTCAACATATGATAAATTAATTATATACTCTTAAGTTAATATCTAATAGTATTTCAGTAGAGTTCAAATGTCATTTTGTTAAAAAAAAATTTGTTTCATATATTATAAAAATAATTTTGTACCTACTGTATATTATTTGTTTTTGTTTTTGTACTTTAATAAGTATAGGAATGGTTCTAGAAGACATTTTAAATATTTAAACTCTTTCAAATGTAATAACTGCCACAGGCCTTTTCCTATATAATCAAAAAGTAAAGGGGTTCTTGAACCTGCTTACTGCTTAATCAAAGGTCTCATTTCAATACAATAGTAAGTCTTAAACTCTTTGTATTTTTATATTTATAGTATATTCTTATATAATAGAAAGAGAAGTATGTTTTTTTAAAGAAAATTATTATAAAAAAAAATTTTCAAGAAATTAGTAGTGAATAGATAAGAGTTTTTTTTTTTTGCCAATTAAACATTTTAAATTAAATATTATTTAATTATAATATATAAATATAAATATATTTTATTACTATATAAATATATCAAAAAATTTTGAAAATTAATATATAAATTTTTACTCTAAAGTTTTTTAATAATAATAGATATTCTCTTGAAGTTTATGTTCAAAGATTATTGAAAATCTTTATTCAAAAAATTTTTTTGTAAGAGTTTATTAAAATTACTGATACTTAATCTTATATAAGAACTTATATTATTGAAAAAGATGAGTAAAAAATCTTTATTATTATTACTAGCTCATATTGTAGAAGTAACTAAAATTTCTGATCTTCATATGGATCATTATTTTTGAAGGTAACAAAAATGCTAGATATGATTTTTTCAGACCCAGCTTTTAAACAATACATATATAATATAAATTTTAGAATCACACTAGAAAATTTCTGGTCCACCTTCGAAAATAATTATCCATATATTATTTTATCAAATTCTTTAATTATCAATATGATATTTACAATTAATCTAACTTATTGTTAATTATATTAATATTAATTATCATATCATTTTAAATATTGTAGAATGCAACTTTTTGAATATTTTTAAATAATAATAGTTATATATTAGTTTTTTGAATATATTTAGTCTTATTATTAACAAGTAAACAATATTGAATTTGATAATAATAACTATATTGATTTTTTGGAGAGAATAAACTATTTATTTTTTTTTGTAAAGTTATGAAAGAAAAAAAAATTTTTGAAGTCTATATTTTAAGAAAATTTATCAATTTTTAATATAATCTTTAAAAAAAAAATCAACTAATTAGAAGAATAATATTATAGAGAGTGGAGTTTATAAAAAAGAGAAAAATCCAAAAAGAAAAATTTTTAGAAAAAAGAGAAAACCCAATTTTGGCAATAGAAAAGAAAAAAAAAGAAGGAAAAAAATATTAAATATAAAAAAGTATGTAAAAAAAAATAAATAAATAAAATAAAAAGATATAAGAGAAAGAAGGTAAAAAAGAAAAATAAACAACTCAAAAATTTCCTAAAAAGAAAATTTATAAGTATAGAAAGGGAAATGGAAAAAGTTTTTTTTTTAACTTAAAAAATCTTTAAATTTGTTTAAAATCAACTTTTATTAAAAAAAAATTATTTTAAAAATTAAAAAGTTTGCTTATAATTAAACTTTAAATTTTTATTAAATAAATAAAAATAAATATTATCAATAAATAATTTATAATTAATATTAATATTACACTGTATATAAATTTTTAAAAAAATTTTTTAATTAAACAACAAAAACTTCAATTCAAAAACTTTCCAACAGCTTATTAACTTACCACTCATCTGTATAAACCTAGCTCTTGGCCTCACAAATATTAACTCCTTTTTCACAAACCTTAAACCATTTCCAAAAGATCTAAAAATTCTGAACAAACTTCAAAATGATCTTCTCGACTTAATCTATCAGGAAATATGGACTCCCTGAAACAAGAGTATGAATGAAGAAGAAGAAATATACAACATCACTCGAGCAGACAAACACAGGAAAAATAAACAACCACATAAAAAAAACAACAAACTAAAAAGAAAAACACTACCAGCAAACAAATTTCTCAATTCACAATCAAACAATCACACTAACATCGTTATTCAATCTTTTTCTAAAAATCTATCAATGTCTTTCCATTATAGAATAAATTATTAAGAAGGCATTAGCCCTCCAAATATAGATAGTTCCTTTTATTTTCCTTTTTCAAAAAGGTTTTTTTTCTAAAATATATCTATTTGGTGGTAGGCTAACATGTATAGTAATGTATCTCACAATCTAAATATTAATTATGTAATATTTTACTTAATTAATCAAGATCACAAGAAATGCCTCATTTAACACTTAAAAAAAATATTTTTTTTAATTATTTAAAAAAATAAATGAAAAACAATTTTATTTAAATTAAAAATTAATATTTATTAAGAAAATTTCTTATAATATACATGTTTAATGATTTTTTTTTTTTTAAATACATATTCTCTCTAAATATATACTTGCATTTGATTCCAAGAAAGTATATTTAAGAAGGGTAGAAAGAAAACTAATGAAATTGTGGCTAATAATTAATGAAATAAAATGAAAATTCATGATAAGTTTACTTAATTTGAATATAAAATAACGTAGCTATATGGAACTTTGAATTTAAACAAATTTATTTGTACTAAACTGTATATTAATATCTTTAATATTATCAGTATATAAAACAATAAAGACAGTCTATGCACTGAGGATATCAAACATGTCTTCAAATACCCATCAGTTTCAAGAGATATTAGCCAACTTATCAATACTATCAATAACATTTTTCATTCCAATGGTGACTACAAGCCAATCTCATATGCCTGGCAGCTAGCAGAACTGGCATGCGGCATTACTGACAATATCTTCTCTACTACCAACTTTTCCAACTGGGTCGAAGCCTCAACCAAGATCTTAACTTGTCTATATAAATCAATCTGAATACCCCACTGTGCCACAACAAACACTTCTCCCTTACTGGTATCAAATAGAACATTAACTCCCATAGCAAAATATCAAAACAAGTAACCAAAAACCCAACTAAATTCAAATCTCTCAATATCAACTACTATAGATTTACCTACATTAGTGACTGATTCTTATATCCAAAGCAGATTTAATTTCACTAAGTACATTTTCAAATTAATTTCAGATTATCTTAATTTTCTTCCATCTAATGCTGATTAGGTAATCATAGTTGCTTGGAACCTCTCAACAAGATATATTGTTTTAAAATTTCTTTTCAATATTAGTCTAATGGTTACTGTAGGCAAGCTAACATTTAACTCATATTATTACACATGAGAGATGTTGTTTCTTTCACAATGTATATCTATTACTATACAAATTAAATAAAAAAATGATGTTTACCTACAAAAAAAAATAAATAAATAAATAAAACAATAAAAACATTTTATTTTCGAAAAATATTTGTGACCAATAAAATATTGATATCTTAATGGAAGAAAAATAGTATTATGGTTTTTGATATTTTTTTGATCTAATTAAAGTTAATATACTTACTTAACTGGTTGTATGAGAAAATCTTTATAATACAATCAATCACCTTTCCTTGATTCCAGGATCAAGGTATATATGCATACTCAATAAATATACATCAAGTGAGAAATACTTTTTAATTTTAGATAACGAATTTAAACTTTTTTATATTCATATACACATAAATTCGCCTTAAATCGAATAAAGTATTTACTGATTTTTAAAACGAAGAATTTCCAGAAAAAAAAAATTTAATCCTATTATGATGTTTGAATATTTTGATTCACTTATTCTTTTTACATACCGGGAATTTACAGATTAATCTAAACGTTAGCATATTTGTCTATTCAAAAATTAGCACGTTTGTATTAATATCACTGGCGTGAGGAAAATGTAATATTGCTTTAATCATCTCGTACTTGTTCGCGGTTATAGAGTTTCAACATCCATGGTCTCCGAATTGTTTGACTTTGATCTAGTTGATCTTGACGCACGAGTCGTAGTTGATTTTTTTGCCCTGGGTTTGGCAGGTGTTTTTGCACCTGTTTTAGGTGTACGCTTTTTTTTGGTCCCACCAACGGAACTTGAAGGTGTCGTGACACCACTCCCTTCGGTTTCTACCATTGGAGGTTCACCTTCATGCCAGAGTTCCTCTAAGGTTTTATATGAGGACCCAGAAGATGTTGTTGTGGATGTTTCCTTTTTTCGACGTTTATTGCTGCGTCCTTTTTTCTTATTCTCTTCTTCTTCAGCCTTTCGCTTAGACTGTTGTTCTTTTAGTTTAGTCTCCAGCTCGTCATCCTCAAGGAGGAGAGACACAATTTCACGTGGTTTGAAGTCAACCTGTTTGAACTCGCCACCGGATATAACAACTTTCTGGATCTATTTTTTCAATAAGAAATTAATTATACACTACTTAATAATTTACAATCATTCCGTTAGACCAACCTCATCCTTCTGTTTTGCGCGCTGGAGAATTCTTTCTTCAATTGTACCTTTTGTAATCAACCTATATACAGTGACTTGTTTGGTTTGACCCAAGCGATGGGCGCGATCCATAGCCTAAATAAAACCACATTATGTTATTAACTTTGATCTAATATCACGCAAATAATACTAAGGTCTCATGGAAGCTGACCTGTTGGTCAACCGTAGGATTCCAGTCACTGTCATAAAAAATAACGGTATCGGCTGCCGTTAAGTTAATGCCTAATCCACCGGCGCGGGTACTCAATAAGAAAACGAAGATTTCGGACCTTGCGAAGAAAAATTCATAGTCAAGATTTTGAGTTAACAGTAAAGTAAAAAGATGGTATATTTACCTAGTTTGCCAATCTTCGACCATATCGCGACGGTCATGTATTTTTGACGAACCGTCAAGCCTCAAATATTTGTACTGTCGATACGCAAGGTATTCTTCCATCAAGTCTATCATGCGCGTCATTTGGAAATAGATTAACACGCGATGGCCACCAGCCTTGAGCTCTTTGAGTAATTCATCTAACTTTGTTAATTTTCCAGAATCTAATACCAATTTTTTAAGAGCTAAATTTAAACAATACATATTGTCAGTAAGTTATTAAATTATTTTTTAAGCAGACCTTACAAAATGAATGACATTTACGTGGTACTCGCATATATGAAAACCCGTGATCTTTACGATACGTTTTTCCAACCATTCCCTCACCCTCTGATTGATTCAACAGTTGAACAATGTTATTTTTCATTCTCTCTCCTTGAGGTAATATTTCTGTAATTCCAAAAAGCGCAGTTCTTATAAGAGGATCAAACATGAGTCTTTCTTGATCATTATAAAAACATTTATCAACACATGCAGGTTGAATTGGAGGAGCAATAGCCTGTACGCAATACAATCAAAAAATTTTGGGGTTAATAAATAAAAAAAAGTAAAACAACAAACTTCATATATTCTAACCTTGGGCATATAGCACATATCCAACATAACTAATTCATACTTCGTTACGTTTTCAAAAATATTCGTTAATTCATTTAAGACAGACGAGTTTTCGATGTTCATAGGAGAGAGCGTTGGAGCCGTTTCGTTAATTAGAAATCGAGCATGTGTATTAATCGAACTATTTGGATAGCTAAGGAAAGGTCAAAGTCGTTAGGAATGGAAATTAACTGCGAATGTATTGATTAAACAATTTAAGAATCAACAAACCTTTCGCCATTCTGTGTCATATAAAATCTTCTTCGAGAACGATGTGTCTTTTGTAAAAGATGCAAAATCCAACGTTGTATCAAATGCCCAAAGAAAACATTTGAGGCCTCAGTTGGAGTGGTGTCCACGAACTTTAAGAAAGCAAAAGTGTCTATAAGTATTAAACGAAGCGATCAATTACTAATTGGGTTTTTTTTTTATGCACGCATTCTCTGAAATCATCAAGCCTACCGCTCTGTTCATCACATAGTGACTGATGAATATAATCCGGTCGCCAAATATTCATTAGATTATCAAGAATATTGGTACGAGACCCGGCTTGAGAATCATAACCAGGCACATCCAATATGCCTAAAAAAAAATGAAAATTATGAGTTGAGACGCATAATTTTATAACAAAGAATTATTTCTATTACCTCCGTTACGATAAACCATCTTTGGAATCTCATAAGTTATATAGTTTCTAGAGTTATAAGGAAGATAAAGATACTCTTCCCGTGATATTAGCCAGGTCGCACTGTAATGACAAAAGGAAAAGGGGGATACCACATCTGCTCTTTCAAATAATTCCGGATGATTACAGACTTTACGGAATTGCATTACTAAGTTCATTAAGCTGTCGACATTATCATTGTCGGGTAAAGTTGCGGCCTTTTCTAATAATTCTGCTACCGAAATTTTTTCACGAAGTCCGCGATACAATATACGTTGTCTTGCTGTCAAATGACAGAAAACTTCCATCTCAATTTTTTCTCCAAGTTCATTTTGAACGTTCTTCTTAACACGGCGCAACATAAAAGGTTTCAAGATCATATGCAACCGTTTGAGTTGGTGTTCATTTAGTGAACCTTTATTCTCCGCGTGACTCTCTATATCCTTGGAAAACCATTCGCTAAACTCTTGATGAGAATCAAAAAGTGTAGGCATAATGAAATGCAAAAGGGCCCATAACTCCTGCATACTATTTTGGATAGGAGTACCCGTTAATAAGAGACGATTACGGCATTGGAAACCAAGAAGAGTTTTCCAACGGGCACTACGAGTAATACACATAAGTTCAGTAAATATAATAAAATTTTCTTAATTTTGGTTGTTGTGTAATCTTTCATTGACGAAGTACCTAGAAGAACTTTTGATGGCTTGAGCCTCATCCAAAATCATGTATTGCCATTTTGTTCTCGCGAAATAACTTTGGTCTTGAACAATCTATGATTGCATAATACATAAAATTTATTAATCATCGATCCGTGCAATAAATACAGGATTGTAAATAACAAACTTCTCATACCAATTGATAACTGGTGATAACAACGTGAAATGGGGCATCTTTGTTAAATATTAAATTTTTCTTATTCAACGATTTTCGCAATATAACTCGATCTTTAGGTGTTCCCCAGTACGGCAAAATCTGATGAATTAAGTTAATAAAATTTTATTAGTATTTAAGGAATAAATGAAAATTCAAAATTTTATCTGCCTACCTTAAAGCTAGGAAGAAATTCTGCTATTTCTTTTTGCCAATTATGAAGAGTAGATGCCGGAGCAATCACTAAAAATGGACCCCATATGTTGTGCGTCTACAAGATTAAATAAATTTATAAGTATTAAGAATGGAAATTTGATGTGTGCAAACAAGTTAGATTTCACCTCCGCAAGATGTGCCATAAGAGATATGGATTGGACAGTCTTTCCCAAACCCTAATAATACAACACAGTTATTACTTGTCAGAATAATATTAAAATAAGGTGGTTTTTGACACTTGCCATTTCGTCGGCCAAAATTCCATTGATACCCTAAGAAAATTTTGAAGCTTAGTAGGAGCTTAATAATAAAAATTATTTGCGTTACCAAATTACTACAAATACCTGCTCGTAGAGGTTTGCGAGCCAATTTAAACCTTTCAATTGGTAGTCCTTCAAAGTAACCTTTACCAGTATTGATGGTTGTTTAATCTCCGACATCGAAGGCATGCTGGACGGATTTTGGAAATTCATTTGGTCCACTACATCAAATATCGATACATTCTTGTAAGAATATTTAATGAGAAAATGATTTAATTTAAAAATAGAAACTTACAATCTTCATTGGACACTTCAATATCTGCTGTTTTGCCACTTCTATCGCCATCGAAGTCACGTGTGTGTTTTTTAACTTGTGCGAGAGCATTTTTTGCGCTTGCACGCGCTTTTTCCCTAAGCGCATCTTCATCCTCTGCCAACGGATATCAGAATACATTAAATGTTATAAGATATGGAAAATTCTAAATAATTAAAAACATACCTTCATCAAAATCAATGTCTTCAAAGGATGTAGGCGCTGCAACTCCCTCGCCTTCAATATTTAAATCAGTAGACGAAGATTCAGTACCCTGGTCACTTGTTCCTTGTTCACCGGAAACTGCATCAACCTGAGCTACATTTTCAGAATTTTCCTCAGCGTTTTGAGCTTTTGTTTAGATGTTGATAGTTAATACCTTCCAAAATGAAAAAAAAAAAATGTTTTCTATTTACTACACGTACTTCCAATCTTTTTCCCAACAAAATGACTGTATAACTCGGTTTGCGTAATTAAGAAATTAAGTTTTCGTGCTTGTCTCTTTGCTTCACGCATTTCTTCTTCTACCCTCATTCTTTCTAAGGCCTCTCTCTCTGCTTTTTTGCGTAGTTCTCGTTCTTCTTTCTCGTTGCGTTTCCAAAAGAAAAGCATCTGTAAAGTTACGGTGGTTAAAATAAATCCAATCATGGATTAAATTAAATCGCGTAATATTAAACTAAATACCTGTCTCATAGCCTGTCGAGACCTCGTTTGGATATCCTTCGTGGATTTACAAGATTTACATGCAGCTTTGCGGGCTTCTTTTTGACAGAGCAGAGCAATCTTTCGGCAGTTATTAGATCGTGAAGAAGTAGTCTGACTTACAATCTTGTTCATCTGTATGATTGCTTTGTCAATTAGAGATCAGAAGGAAATATATGAATGAATGAATAAATAGGCTTAAGATTAAGTACCCTCGGTATGGCATTACGAACAATGTCCTTCCATATCCTCCGTCTCTCTTCCGATTCAAGTGCTTCTCTTTGTTTTTGAATTCTCGTACTAAAAGCAGCGCGTTTTTGCTCGTCATTTCCACCCTAGGATAAGATTAACGAGACGAGGATTTGTATACATCTTAATAAAAATTAACATGAAAATCGTTTGAGTATTTACACTCACTTCAAATTCATCTGGAAATTCTGAATGCATTTTACGACTCATTCGCTTGATATCTATCCTGTGCCTAATTCCACGAATACCCCTACTCAGACTAGTATGATTCTCCTTATTTGACATTCTCTTATTACTGATACGATAATTAACATTGGATGAGAATCTTCTACGAAGAATATCTTTTTTTATCTAAGAGATAATAACGATTGGGTATAAATACATTTAACTACGCCAAATTAATCATCCATGCAAATACCTCTTCACTTACCCGACACCTCCGGTCATACTCATCAATTACACGCTTCTGACGTTTGTACACCTCTACCATATAATTTACAAGTTCATCATTAAACCTTTCTTCATCACCAATATCTGATTCGCTTTCGGAACCGGATTCACTCGATTCGCTAGATCTGCGTTTTGCCTTAGATTCTACAGCACTCTCTGCAGATGAATCTGATGAGTTGCTGCCAATATGATGTTCTATTTCTAAAATATAAAGTCAATTATTTTTAGATTTGAATTCTAATAGGCAATTTCAACTAATAGAACTTTTATTTTGATGATGCGCATTAAATAGATACAAACTTACTATCAGCATGAGAAAACTGCATAGCTTGAGAAATGATATTAGATTTCGACGAGGTATCGGGTTCCTGGGAAGCAGAAGTCGATGAAACGCTTGGCGGTCGAGAGCTAGAATTTGTCTTTAATTTCTTAAATGCAGTAAAAGTAGTCAATAACATAGAACGGTTAAACGTAATATTGTTCATTACGTAGTTTTAAACTTACAACAACCAACCCATTTCCGGGCTCTGGTATTTTGCGAGGCGGAGGAGGAACGATCGTACTTGGACTTCTTGGTCCTTCTTCAGTACTTTCTCCTTCAGATTGATCAGATCTTGGTAGGCTCATATCGGTATTTACATCTGAGATAGATGCCTCACTGTCTTTTTCCTCCGCACTATCTGTCGTTTGAACTTGAGCTATGTTGGATCTACCAGTTTTACCACTAAAAGTTCCTCTCTCTTCATAAGCACTAGAATCTTTTTGCGATTTCTGAAATGAATAATCCGTATCATTCGTATCTTTACTCAATAATCCCGAAATTGACATTACTGGAGGTGGTTGAAATATTGCCTATTTTTTCAAAAAAGATAGAAAATCCTTGAATGAAAATCCGTGATGCTAAAAAAGATCAATTCATAAAAATCTACCTCTTGCGATACAGAATTTTGATTTACGTTCGGATGAAAAAATGTCAATGTCGAAGGAGTATTCGAAACTGGAGACGCTGTATGTGAATTAATTACATTAATAAGATGATGGTCCTAATTTACTTTCGTTGTTTCTGACATACCGTGATCTAATTTGAAAGGAGCGTTTGGTAACTAGAAAAAATAAATTATCAAAAAAAAGAAGGTATATTACGCATATAGGTTTACGCATTTTTAAAAAAAAAAGAAAAGAAACGACATCGAAAAAGCAAAAGTCGTGTCGCGTTATATGCAAGTATTGTTTTATATCGTATACATACTTGCCGTGAAGGCTCACTGTAATCCCAAGGAGTGTTATTGTTATAAGGGGCTAAACGTTGTAGAGGATTGATCGAAGGTTGAAGGGGGTGCGACAATGTGGGTGTGGGAGAGTTCGAATAATTGTTATGGCTATGTTGATAATGCGGACTATTAGCCTGTGAGGTGTATGAGAAACTAAGCGATTGAGGATATGGTGCCGCGTGTGGAGAAGATATGGGTGGTAACGAGAAGTGACTGGTCGAGTGAGGCAATGATTGATCGTCTGAATTCAATAGGTGATTCAGGTTGTAAGAAGAGTTCCTGTTAGAAGAAGAAGGAGGTGGACCCTGTGATTGGTGGTCCGAAGAATATGAACGAGATGAGTGCGCGCGGTCTCTGTTAGAAGGGTAATTATATGAACTCGACATGATTTATATGTTAGAAAGTTAAGAGGGGCTCTTGAAAACTGTTAAATTTACAGTTAACCTTTCTCTCGTACTTTATAGTTTTGATTTTCGAAGACATGTGCAGTTTTCATATTTTCATGGTTTTTTATATTGATGCGGGTAGTGATACGACGAGAGTAATAGTAGAGTAATCATATAAACATTATCAACTAACTGATATGATTGCCAACTGCATGATACTTTCAAGGTAAGTGTTACTGCATTCGAACTTCGAACTCAAAAAAAATAAAATAAAAAACTGAATTTAAAGCGTAAATCAAGTAGTCATTTTAGTTCGGTTTACAACACACTACATTGCTACCCAGGATTATAATTGTAAATTTATTACTCTATTTTACGCGCATTCTTTCACTGCTCTGCCATCCATAAAGCAATATCCTTATTAAATACTATACATTGAACATTGTGTTAAAAGACTAATGATCAAGGTAGTTCCTGTCTTTATCATTGTTGGATCGGAAGAAATAATTAATTGTAGATCAATGCTTTAAAAAGAACCATTCAGTTCATCAAAGAAGCCATACCAAGCCACGAAATTTATTAGACACTTCTTAAAGTTAATAAAATATTTATATATTATAAAAAAAATGTGAAATATGTCCTAGATTATATAAATATTTTTATGTTATCTTACTAAATTAAATAAATTTGAAATGTTATATATATATGGTGGATTTTAGTAATAATATTGATTTGTTTTATAATAGGTTACAATAAATTTATTGAAATACAGTATATAATTTTTTTTGAATATATATTTTTTCAAGTTAATATTAAATAAAAACAATAATAGTATTATTATTTAAAAGAAAAATTAATTAACTATAATTTATATAAGGTTTTAATTTTTTATTTATTTATTTTATAATATTTGTTAAAGTTTACTTTATTAAAAATATAAATAATATAAATTATATTTATTTTTAAATTGAAATCTATTTTATAAATTATTATAATATATACAGTAGTGTACAAAAAAAACTGAAATTTTTTTTAACACATATTTTTATTAATAAATTAATATAAAATTATTTAAATGTTATGAAACTTTATAAATTTGTT